ATATATATATATATATATATATATATAACTGCAGACAGTGCACACTGTTTCGACCTATGTGGGTCTCATCAGTGCAGTGCAGACACTGGGCCAAGCTCTGGAATAAACCATTGCCTGGGCGCTACACTTGTGGGACCAAGTGCAGGTATGTTGCCATGCGAGAGTGCTCAAATCACAACTAAGGTGATGAGCTTCGCCCCAATGAAATAATATATATATATATATATTATTTCATTGCAATTCCATTTTTTGGAACTTTTGCTCTAGGATATTCCGTCATTCTGCTTCTTAAGATATTCCACCATTCCACCGATCCACCCTTCCTCCGTTCCATCATTATGTTGAATAACTCAAGGTGTCGTATTTCTCCGTTTGCTCGGTTTTGCAAGTTTAGTGGCTCTTTTCGACAAACTTCGGTGATTCAAACGATAAAACGCTCTCTTTTCAAAGGAAGACCGTTTTCCTCAAAGCCTACATGATGAGCTGATCAAGTCCATTGAGATATTTTTACGAGGAATAGTTTTGATTGTTACTATCCTTCGGTGGATGCCACTGTCAAATTATATTGAGATGTTTATCGTCTTTTGAAGTGCCACGTACGGTAAGAACTAAAAATATTATATCGTCGGATCTCCCGTCATTTGCTCATTTAAACTGTAAAATGCTAGCTCTTGAAAAAAAAATTCCCTTAAGTGTTATGATGCATTGATCACACTAATAACATATTCTGAAAGGAAAACTTCTGTTTTAATTCCTGCACCATCCTGAAACTGTGAGATGTTATCGCTTTCTGCTGTCTTTCATTGTGTCACGGAAAGAACTGAAAGCGTAATGTGCTAGTGGCTATAATCCAGAAATCACAAAGGGAGGGAACTCAACTGTGTATGAGTGCGATTGTTGAAATTCTAATTACAGTATACTCAGAAAAAAACAATAACTAGCATCGGGAAACATCGAGTCACTCACTCCCTCACTCACTCTCTCATCTCGACAATACATGTGGCTTCGCCTCCTAAATGAGGCAGTGGCCACAAAAATTGAATTTTTTAGTGTAAGTATTATAATATTAAGAGTTTTTCATTTTTCATCATTTATGAGAGTGAACTATTCTTATCTCTTTGGGAGTGAGCTTTTTATTCCATCTAACCTCGTAACTTTACAAAACGAAATCTCGATAATGCTTAAGTATCCTCCTAAGAATTTCTCCCAATACATCATAACTTTTTAAATATCTGTACGTCGTTTCAAACCTGAAAAACTTCAGGCACAATCCACATCCATAGTCCGAACGTCTCGGGGTCCATCGAATGACCAATCGAAAAGACATTCTTTCCACCAAAAACCTCGCCAAGTATGTATGATTTACCATCTCTGTATGGTCCAGCAATGGACACAACAGATACTGGTTCTAAAATATACAAAACGAATTACAAAAAAGTTAAGGACGACGATGTAAATGCAAGTGTCTATTTCGTTAATAAGGAAGATATGGCAAGATTTTCCTAATCTTTTTTTTACATATCAACAAGTTAATTTTGTCATGCCTCGAACATGTTTCTGAGCTAGCAACGTTCTGCTTACATTTGGTTCACGGTTCGGTTGTAGACTTATAATTAAACAAAGATCTCTTACGCGAAGTATTTCAACGAAATGGGAGTAGAGAAACCCCGAGATACGTTTTGTAAACAATCATTGTCAGGAGGTGTTGACTATCTGCCAAGTTCTATTGCTGTTGAGAGAGTAATGCAACAATTTTAG